GAAAAATTTGGGATTACGTTCGTAATCTTTTAACACTATATAGTGCTTGTCTGTATTCTATTTACATCTGTCGTAACCGCACTAATTGTAACACAACATAGGTACTAATACAATCCTAACAAACGGATTTTGATTTGGAAAAAATAGAGTACAACAGGGGCGTGCAAGTCACTTTTTATCAATCACTTATTTTGACAATATTCAATGTTGTCTCACACGAATGTGTTTATTCCTAATTCCTTTTGCATTCTATACCTTATAAATCTCTCGCTGTAGAACATTAAATTAACGTTGAATTTACAAAGTATGTACATGAATATTAAATAGTTCCAAAGTAACAAGATAAAAAACTATTTACTACAGCACTGTTAGTAGGGCTTATGTGGCTGTTTGGTTACTGCGAGATTAGTGCGTGTACTTATTTGGTATGTTAGAGGGAGTGCGGATATATAGGTTTAAAAAGTGTTTAATTCGGGCTGCATAATGCCCGGCATGTTTTAATGCGTTTTCGAGTTAATCCTCTGTTATACGCGTATTCGGATGTTAGAGAGGGTGTTAAATTTCATTCGAGGGTTCCAGAATCTCCGATGGGTATTGGTTTAACGTCGATAATAAGTCATTGTGTTAACACACAAATTATTTGTCCTACTTTTTTGGTATTTTCTATAATATATTGTAATTCGTAAACGAATAAAGGGAGAGGTAAATAAACCATTAAAGAGAGAGTTATCTTTTAAACATAGGGACTTACATGAATGTATTGCTATATATACTATTAGATTTTTGTGTTATTCAGTACGTAACTAATAGCGGAAATAAATAATAACCAAAAACGATTTGGAATTTAGACGACTATTATTCTCCATTACGATTACATGATTTTACTTCCTGGATTTGTAAGTCAAATAGGCAGGTATATAAAATTGTTGGAAAATCCCCCTGAATTTGCAATGTTTCTATTTTGCCTTTGTGCAAGGGGACAAAAACTTTTACACTTGAATTGAAAATACCTGTATAAAACATGTACCTACCCTATAATACGAAGGCGAGTCAAATATGAACCGAAATTTTGCTTTAAAAAATTTATTAGTAAATTAAATATAATTTTGAAAACATCATATTTTCTATGTAGTTTCTATTTTATTACCACAAATTTCCTACTGAATCCTACTGAAAGTTTTTTAATCCCGTAATCAAATAATTAATCTGGTCGTGTCTGTAGTCAATTGCGCATAAACGTTTCCACATCTTCGTTATAGTCGTTGAAGTGATGACCTCCTAGTCCTTCTGTAAGTGGCCTAAACATGTAATGGTTACATGCCGATAAATCGGGACTGTAGGACGGTTGTTTCAGAGTATTTTCCAATGTATTCTGTCCAAGTTTTCTTGAATTAATGCAGCTGTGCGTAGCCGAACGTTGCCATGGAGCAAAATCGCACCTCGAATATGCTTGTACTCTCTTTTTCGTCGAGAGTCGAGCTTCAATTCATCAAAAAGATGGCAGAGTACACCCTTAAATTCACGTCATTCATTGAGAAAATTTATGAGCTATATGCTCCCTGCAATCCCAAAAAATCGTTGCAAGAACTTTCCAAGCAGAAAGACGAATCTTGTCTTTTTGCATTCCTGCTCCTCCAGTTTTTCACAATTTTTTTTTCCAGACATGGATCCTTGAAATCATGTTTCCAGTGAACTGTGTAGTTACTCGACGCAAAATTTTGGTAAGTTTTACGGTCTCCCGCGATAAAAATTTAATATTAAACCGTTATTCAACGGACCTGTGCACCTCTTGCTCAGACATGATGGTACTAACAGCCAATCGGCTCTAACGAGGCAAACTGATTTACTCACCTTTACTTTACATCCCCAGCATGCAACATATATCAAGACGTCATATTACTCACCTTACATAGGGATGGTTTAAAAGAAAATTCCGGCTCATATTTGATTCGCCCTCGTATCTAATAAAATTGTAAAATTTGCGAGAAAAAGAAGCGACATAAAAATCTCGAAGTGCATGGATTTTTATAAAGAAATGTATTAGGTACATATTTCTCAATAAGCATAAGTATAAACAATTTTATTGTTCTTCCTCCGTAGATAAATAAGGGAAATATTGTTAAAAATAGATTACATGTAAAACATTTATAGATGCAAATCGATACCACACGCACATATAAACACTAATGTAAAATGTATTTTTAACAGATTCATCGACGAACGAAAGGAAATCGCTTTGAATAAAGAATAAAAAAAAGGATGGAAGCGAAAGTAACAGAGCCGTATAGTGTCAATCATTCCCGCAAATCGGCTTTTCACATTGTCGGTTGTCAGATTAGGGACGATAGGCAACACCCTTCCACATAAAAGCGGACGCCTAAAATATGATGTACTGCGTGTGTTTGTGTTTCGAACTCTGAAAGCTGCTTACTGACGCGATTAAAAGGCACGATGCATATTGGGAGTGTTTCGCCATATTTTGCATTTTGAATGATCTCTTTTATGAAAATAGTATATAAAAGTGTTTAATAAACACTTTAGTAACCTATATTTTTTATCAAAGCTTTGAATTTAAGATTGTTATCGATTTCCAAAATTTGTTTGTAGTATAACTTCTTTATGATTATTTGTTTTAGTATCCATGCTTACAATTTTTTCTGATGCTTTTGTATATGAACCACACAGCATCAATTTTAAAGTTCTCAATTTGTTTCCCCGACAAAGATTTGTAAATGAATAGATACCTACTTTTATATAAACAAGGTACCTAAATCAAAATGAACTTTATTTATACCTTTTCTCCCATAAACAGAACCTCCGAAAACCGATGTCAAAACGTTTTCGTCGAGAGTCGATCCAGTCCGTTTCGTTTTTAATGGAGAATATTCGGCGTCCCGAAGGCAGCGAATTCATAATAATTGGTGGCCAGAGACACTTAAAAAGCCCACAGAGCAATTAACGGCACCGACGAAAATCTCGTCGACTTCTCTAAAAATAAACACGTCAAAGCGGATCTGTAATGAACTCGCCGACCGCCTCGACTTCGGGCCGGAGTTGGAAACGACGTGGAAAAAAGGGGGAACGCGCCGGTTGACACAAGACACTCGCCCGCTGGGTAACTAAATCGCGATTCTGCGGCGCAGATCCGGTTTGCGGGTGTTTCAATTAGGCTGTGAACAAGACTGGGTGTTTTTCATCACTTCTATAGGAGCCAAAGAATAGTAAAGATTTTCTTTCAAAAATCTTTTTCTCTTGTACCTACCTACAGTGTTTCGAAAGTCGTTTGAATATAAGAATGAAAGCTACTTATGGGGGCAATAATTTGCTTTACTGGGAATACAAATTTTATTACAATAATATCAATTAAGAAAAATAAAAATATGTAGTTTATAATAAATGACGTTTCCCTTCATCATATTGTCAATAACATGTACTGACTGAACTGAACTGACTTTGATGGGAAAACTAAAATAAATGCTTCTAGAATTATGAGTCTTTTGGAGTACCTACATATAACGTAAAACTAAAGTGTAGGTACACACCATAATAATGGTATAATATCTAATATAGATATTCGCTTGCAAAGATAATTTCGCAAATATTAATTCTTGTTAGTATATAAATCGATTATTTTAAATCAAATCTACCAAGTTATACTTATACCCTTAGCTTAACCGATAGTTGAAAAAATGAAGAATGAACTGAAAATACATATTTGAGTATATCTAAATTTGATCTACTATAAAAGAGTTATATGATTTGAATTCCTGCATCCGGTCCTGATAATCCCGTCTTTTTTTCTTGCCGTTGGTTGGCGCCATGGATTCGACTATCCAAACAACACTGATCACTTCCCTGTCCCAATCGTGTCAAAAGATTCTCGTTTTTTATTTGCTTAATATTTTCAGTTAAGACTATTAGGCGAAGATTATAAGTTAGGGAGGTTGACGGGCTGATGCGTTCGAGTCAATTACTTACGGGCTGTTCGAACATCAACGAAATCTAGAGATAGATAGGTATCTCGAGAAGCGAAATCGACGACGATTTTCGTGCTGGCGCGGGCCTAATACCTGTAATATGTAGTACCATAAGATGTTTGTAGATAAATGGTCGATGTTTGGTGGTATGTGGTCTCTAGATAAGATCTATTTATTTCGTGTACCTACGTAAGTAGATAAGTGCAGAATGGGCAATCATGTACCTACAGGATGTTTCGAAAAGAGAGCTACATAGTATCTAATATTAATATGTCTTTGGATAAAACCAAATTCTGTAGCTTATGGCCTAAATATACATTTTTCATATAAATAACCATCAACTGTATATAAAATATGATTCGTTTATAACCTTTTCCTGATCTATTGCATTTCACACAGCGATACGGATAAAGATTTCAAAGATATTCTCAAATAAAGCAATAAAATGTATTCCTAGTAAAAAATAATTTCCTCACAAATATTTACATATATCTAATTTATTTATACCTTCTATAAATCTTATACCTATACTTGTAAGTACAAAAGTGCAGGAATTGGACTAAGGAAAACTTTATTAATCGATAAAGAGGTACATACCTACAAAGAAATAAATCAATGTATAGGTGCTTAAATTTTTCATCAACATCATTGTAACGTTTAACCTATTTACCTACCTATATATATTTTTGGTTCGACCCCCTTCCAAACTTAAAGCACCGCCGAGCTACAACTAATAAAGATATCGACCGCAGTGTAAGCAAAACAAGATTCCAGTAATTTCCTACGACCCAGAAATAAACATAAAAGGCGTATCTCGAAAGTTATCATGGTGACAGAGCTACACCGAATAGAGGACCACTTTATACATCACCTTTAGTTAGGTGTATGCTATGAAGGTTTTCATCTAAACGTCATATATCAAAGTGACAGTGGCTCCGCCTTCGACGGAGGCTTTCGCCCCACCAAAAGCGAATCGTATTGGAGGGCGAGCGGCCCAGTCGTCGTGGTAACGGCCCCGTCAGGGCCAATAGCCGCTCCTCGCGGACACAAACTCAGTCTCGTCTCGAGAGTAACGCACAAAGCTCCTGCAATCCGATCTTCCTTTGTTGATGGTTACCTGAGTAACACACGTTTTTTGTCAGCGATACTGGTTCTTTATAGTGAGATGATCTAAGTGTGTCGAATCGCAACGCTGGCAACCCACATGGCTCTGGGACTGAGCTCGGGGCTCTGCTCCGGGAGCACGGGACCGGGATCCGGGGCGCATTCGGAGACGTCTTCATCGCCGGGCATCAGCGTCCCGATTCCGGTGGCGCCGGCACCGATGCTGCCGATACCGACGTTCGCGTTGCCGACGCTCAATTTCACCGTCTCCCAGGTGGCGGCCGTTTGCGAAACGCTCGAGGAGAGCGGCGACATCGAGAGACTCGCGAGGTTCTTGTGGTCCTTACCGGTGGCGCATCCGAATACGAGTGAACTGAACAAAAGCGAGGCCGTTCTCCGTGCTAAAGCTATAGTGTCCTTTCACAGCGGAAATTTTAGAGACCTCTATTCAATTTTAGAATCGCACAAATTCACGAAAACGTCGCACGGAAAGTTGCAGGCCATGTGGCTGGAGGCCCACTATCAGGAGGCCGAGAAGTTGCGCGGCAGAGCGCTGGGACCCGTCGATAAATATCGCGTACGGAAAAAGTTCCCGTTGCCGAGGACGATTTGGGACGGCGAACAAAAAACCCATTGCTTTAAAGAGAGGACTAGAAGTTTGTTGCGCGAATGGTATTTGCAGGATCCTTATCCCAATCCGACGAAGAAGAGGGAATTGGCCCAAGCGACGGGACTCACACCGACGCAGGTCGGTAATTGGTTCAAAAATAGGAGGCAGAGAGATAGAGCTGCGGCTGCTAAAAATAGGTAAGTGCTTTACTATACATAAACAACAGATTTCTTACTGCATCTACAAATTTTATATGGTTCTTTAATTTTTTGGCGAGTAAAATATTTTGAAACTTACATTTTTTGTATGATAGATAGCTTTCATAATAGAAATATAACTGTAACTTATAAATCGGTATTAATTTTTAACAGACCAAAGATAATCTAATTTTGCTATAGGAATTGCTACTGTAAAAATAAAGCAGCGGGCATGATTATTACATGAAATATTACAAGAATTGCTCAAGTTTTTTAAAATATGCGCTTTTAACTGGACTTCAACAATCTTCAGGAAAATTTTTGTCCATAAAAATCCTCCAATATTAATACCCTATATAAAGAACAGTCTTATAAATATAGTCAATAACTTAGGTATATATTATAAATAGTTCAATAACTTTTTAAGTTATTCTTTAATATTTGAAATAATATTTGAAAAATACATTTGTTATATTGAAATAGAAGTAAAGTATGTCCAATTGTGATAAGAAAAATTTATTAATTATTTATTATTAATTATAAATTTTAAATAATTTTAATATTTAAAATTTTGAGTAGCTAGGTATAGGGACCTACTATAGCTGTATCTAATATTTAGGTAGGTTTATTAAAGATTTTTTGAAAAAGGATGAGCGTGTATATATAAAAGCTATATTAATCTAATAAAGCTTATTGGGCAAAAATATAATTATACATATGAAGACAAAAAATGCCTGTGAAATATTTATTTTTAAGCTAAGATAACAATTTGATGCAACTGATGATGAAAGTTATTACATTATTAAGGTATTTTTGTAGACTGATCAATTCACTCAGAAAGCTGTTCTTGCTATTGTTACTTTCTCAAACAATTAATCTCTATTGAGTGATATTTCCTATATTTATTACAATATATTACGTGATAAATATCGATTATCTACAGACTGGAAAAAATCAAGTACCATTTAAAAAACCTTCGCCTTCAGATGCCCGATTCGCGTCCACCTAACAGTAAACGAATGAAAGATTTATTCCGACGGCGGACCGTAATTAGTACCGAAGCGGACGGTAAATCAAAGTCGGATTCACTATCGGTATGAAAATTACACGAATAATAAACCGGGGTATCCGAGAGATATAATAGCTTCATAGGCGTGAGTTGTGTAAACCGCCATCGAAAAGGAATCCGGTAGTCCGATTCATTGGGCCGTATATCAAACTGAACGTTATCATTAGCGGCGGGTTAAACTGACGTTTCGTGTCCGAGAAGATTGCTACTGGATTCGAAACGTTTTTATATTGTAACGAACGATCTACAACATCGAGATATCTATTTAGGTGTACCTATAATAATTATATATTGATGGTACCTTTTTGTATAGCTATATAATAAGGATCGATGCATGTAAAAGTGCATTAGTTGATTTAATTTATTGACATCATCTCTGTGTATCCACATGCATAAATGTTTCTCTTTATCTTTGTTATCATCTGTTTATTTTTTCTCGTTTTACGTCTTCAATCAGTTTTAGATTCTATTTTAGTTTAGATTTCTTTTCCTTTTAAATTATTAAAATATGTTATAGAGTTAGGTTTTTTTTATGCACATCCTAACTACTCTGCTTGTAAAATACTTTTGGATATTTCCAACTCCTTCGAATCGCTCCCATATGTTGTAATTTATCTAGGATTACTCATTTCATACGTTTCACAATGAATATAACGTAAAAAAACTGCTAATATTTATGATGATCATTATGTGTATGTAGACAATAATGGATTTATGATGGTAACATCGAAATACATATAATATAGCATATCTAATTTTTATTTGAAATTACGCCGCAAGCTCAATTAGAATATCCGACGGCCTAACAACGTAAAAATATACGGAATTAATTACCCGGATTATAACTAACCGGCAATTAATGTTTTTCTCCAATATTAATTATACGAACTTATCATTCTAATTAGAAAATATGTAACAGTATATTCGACAGAATCAGAAACGGTTAAACCATTAAAAGCGCACAAACATAATTCATTAATGTCTCAACATTAATGTTTTTTGTGTAATCGCCGTGCGTGAAACTTCCCAACTCGCATCGCAGAACTAATGCGACTAGACTCACATCGCGAACAAAAACTCCACTTTGACTACTATGAAAACACGCTTAATTGCTCCTGACGTCTACACTTCCAGTTTTTTTCGAATGCGTATAAAGTGAGATTTCGAGCCGTATCAGAGACAAATTAGAATGCGATATCGAGCCAGGAAGTATGTCCTAATTTGAATATTGATGTAACTCCATGCATCAGGTTTATGTATAAATACAGGTTTTTAGTAGTAATTGTGTAGTTACGTTTAGTGGAATTTATTACGAAGCTGGAGGCGATTTGGTGGAATTAAAAGATGCATTGAAGATATATGATAAGTCAGAAAATGTATACTAATGTTACCACTAAAATAAAAAAAAATTTAAGTTATTTTTTGTGTGAGTAAAAATCTATAGGGCTCCATGTAAGAAATTTAAAGGAAGTAAAAAATGAGAATAATAGCGATTAGAATTGACCATTGAGTTGAGGTGCTTTTAGTGGTTGGCAATAAAGGGTATTCATCAGCATTATCCTTCTTATCTGTTTAGAAAAAGGATGATTGTTAGCGTAATGCCAAACACCATCAATAGAACAATGCCACTAATACTCACCTCAATGCTCCAAGCGGATGTGGTTTTTCCGAAACCAGGTGAACGTGATTCTGTCACTTTTTTTCGGATATTCACAGAGAGAGATTTGCCAGATAACGTCTCTATTGTTGACCATAAAGAAGTTAATGGCGACAAATAGACATTGATTTTGCTGTATGCAATTGTCTATGCACAATAGCTAGTTACTTAAACATGAAATAGAACATAAAAAAATTCCTAAATTAGGAATTAAATTAGGTATGTAATTTGTAATTAATAATTAAATACACAATACAGATATTTATCGATTTGCATTAGAAACCGGTCCGGTCGATGGAGTTAGAGCAAACACCAATTTTTATAGGTTGAACATGCATGATGACGACTGCATGCCGTTGACGTTGTAGGAGGGCGATCGGGCGAAGGGGAGACGAGCAAGCACTCAAAATTAAGTGGCGTAAAGCGGACGTGCTGTGCCACTAGCGCTCCGAGTGTTTGGATAGAACTAAATGAATGTTGGCAAAACAAAAAGCTTTTCTACCGATATTTAACGCCCTCTGTGCTAGCTGGAACGCCATCCAAATCATGTAACCATAACGCGAAGGAATTGCGGTTTATACTGTTAGAGAACGTTGTGTCAGTATTTGGTGCGATGTATGTTTTGCGATAATTTGAGTACCTACGGCAAGATTAAATTGAACTAAATTAAGGCTTTTGGAAACTCTGCCACCTATTAAATCTATGAGGATTTTATGATAGAGATTTCACTGATTTAAATTCAGAGAGGAATATCCATCAAATTCTTCATTCAATCTTCATTTCCTCATAGTCCTATCTAAAACCTGAAGGTAGATTATTTATGTTTTTGATTGAAAATAGCCCGAAATCGACGGATTAACGTTTAACGTAATAAAGGGAATAAGTTTCGCGAGACATCAGAATCAGATCTCTAACTCGATAAGAGTAATCGTATGTATTATAGGGTTTTGTACGTACAAAGCACGTTAGAGTTCTTCCCCCGGCGAAATCCACATTCGGTTGATACAATTTCTGTTCCGACGTACATTCGTAACCCGAGGGGTGACGGAGAACTCCGTGGTTCAGATGCACGAATTATTCGATTTTCCTTACATGTTTTCTCCAATTTTTCTTAATACAAATACCCATACATTTATTCCAAATAATAGTCAAAATATGATACAAAAATAACGCTTGTTGCTATAATAGCTTAGCATTATACTGATAGCTTACAATAACAAGATAAATATCTACAACATGGAGTGAATAAAACGTAATAATTGCAAAGATTTTAACGCCATTAAAAAAGCCACGACTAATCTAATCCCCTTTAGCCGAGTATCGCGTTATTCCATCTGTAGAAATTAGATCGCGATAGCGAAATATTACTTAAGAAAGCCATTTACGGGCCTCCTTTTTAATGGCAGTTTTACATCAGGATGTGACGTCACCCGCTGCCCGAAGATACCATCTTACTTTCCGGTCGTAACCATTATCAACCGCCGGGCCACTGTGCTACCTTCTCCATAAATATTTATGGAACCGGAGGATCTTTACGAGCCCCGTGCGATTTTTACGAGCCGCGCTTAATTTAGCGCGGAGGCGGCCGTAATTTGTTGCGTAATGAAGAAATTTGTTACTCTTCGCTTGCTTATATATTGACGGTTGCGCCCTTAAAAAACTCCCCTTTTGTTTTTAATTTTATATCTATAAAAATACTTATAAAATAGTCTAGTCTGTATTGATCTTTTAAAGCTCAATTTTAGTTAGCACTATACAATACTAAAAGAAATCCATGTTAAATTTCTTTCATAATTTATATTTTCATCAATGCATAATAGTGTAAAAGTAACGGCTTGTGGTATAAAGAAAATCGAGCGTATTCCTATATTAGATATTCCAGAGATAAACGGAAAATCTCAATGGTTACCATACAAAGAGCCACTTAAACTCGTGTTCTAATATATACCTATAGGATAGCGTCCTGTCGGAAAAGCGCTTATGCTTGATCAAATATTATCGCAAGATATTAAACACGTCGAGTATTAGCTTAAACTGCCGGCGCAACCTGGCAGTCCTTTATAATCTTTGTTGTGAGGTTGCATGGCGATTTTCAAAACAAATGAGGGTGTCCTGAGTAAACAAAAGGCCCTCGTTGATAAAAAGGTCCGTTTCGATGCTCACTTATGCGAGTTAGGTTCGGTATGAATAGGTTCGATTTTATATCAGGCTTTTGCAGATGATCGAAAACATTTTTTTAATTAATTAACTGTCTTTAATAATTAAATTTAAGGT